TAAGTCTCCCTGGCCTCCGCCCAATCTCAATCCCTCTCTAGTGCTACTCTAGCTCCTAATAGCGCCCAACGTTGAAGACCATTGCTAACGCTACTACTACTACTGCAGCGTTCCTCCAGTGTGTTGATGCCGAATCCTGAAGACTACCTCCTGCCTCCTGAACTGCACGTGAAGTGTCTGGGAAGTCCGTATGAACTACCTGCAGCCCGCAGGGCGGGCCAGTCTTATATAGTGCTGGCCCGTCCGGGAGGCTGCTCTTGCCAATGCCAAAACATGCCAGACCCTGGAGTTGAAGCTGAAACAAAGGTTGTCTTGAAAACAGACCCAAAATGACCTGTGTTAAAATCCTGGTCTGGTGCCTAAGTTTCAGGGCAGGTCGATCTTACGAGGGCTTGAAAATGGCCCTCTGTTTCAGGTTGAAAAGACTCGGGGCCTGGAGGGCCCTGTTTTAGGCTGAAATGACATAGGGCCTGAAAATGGCCCTTGTTTGTAGGCGCAGCATGTTGCAGGCGCAACATGTAACCCCCCCTCCTTATGAAATCAAGCCGGGTCGAGGGCGAAGCTGACGATCCGAAGGTGGAACCTGGACGCGGGTGCGACGTGGAGCCGAAGATACCAGCTTGCCTTGCATCTTGCGTTTGTAGCGTGCGAGAACATCTGGAGTTGTTGCTTGGAGTTTCGCACGGGTCAACCAACGGTCAACTTTGTGGGTGAAGTCCGCAAAGTGTACCAAGCATTCGGTCGGCCCGCTGCCGTAGCGTCGTTGGGAGATGATGTCGCCGACCTCTTGAAAATCGGCCATAGAGGGTGGGTCTTGCGATCGTCGCCCGAGAAAATCGTCATGTTCCGCTGGCGTGTAAGGAGCCAACTTGGAGCAATGAAAGACCGGGTAGACGGGCAAGTGGGCGGGCATCTGAATGATGAAGGAAGGTCCTTCGGATGCATCCCCAGCGGGTGCCACGATCGGCTAGGGCCCCATCCATTTCGGGAGGAGTTTGATCTTGTTCGAGGTTGAACTCCGCGGCGGAAACCCAAACGAGATCGTCGGTGCGGAATGGACACGGAAAACGCTGGCAATTGGCCTGTTGGCTCATTTGTTGTTGTGTCTTAGCCATCCGGTCGCGTGCCTTGACAAGCAGCTCTTGCATCCGACGCACGAAAAGAAGATGGTCTTCGCTCTCGGCCGCTCGTGGATGATTGTGTCCAACGGAGAAGTGACCGGCGAGCCGTGCTCGAACTCGAAGGGAACATCCCGATAGCCGGGTGGATGGACGAGTTGTATGCCAACTCGACATCCGACAACCGCTCAACCCAATCCTTTTGGTTGGGCCGGATGAGAGTGCGAAGGAGAACCTGTGCGGTCTGATGTGCCCTCTCCGTTTGGCCATTGCTTTGGGGGTGGCAAGCCGAACTTGGCTTGAGAGATGAGCCCCATCGTTTGATGAGCGCCAACCAAAAATCGGACATGAACCGAGTGTCGCGGACGCAGACGATTTCCTTGAGGTAACCCTTGGTTCGAATCCAACCGGCGTAAAGAACTTCGCCCAACTCCGGTGCCTTGGCATGATAGCGACAAGCCAAAAACATGGCGAACTTGGTGAGCCGGTCAACCACCGTGAGAATCCCATCCACACCGGTTTTGTGCTTCGGAAACGGTCCGGTAATGTCCATGGCAATCACTTCCCTCCGGCACAAGGGGACCAGTAATGGTCGCAACTCGCCGTACGGACAACGGTTGCGGGATTTGCAGCGTCGACAAACCTCGCATGACTCACAATAGCGTGTGACGCCGCCGAGAAGGCCGGGCCACCAAAAGCGCTCGCGAAGTCAGTCAATCGTTCGATTGACTCCAAAGTGTCCGGTGGCGGGAGCATCGTGGAACTCGCCAAGAAGCCGTGTACGCAAGTGAGAGTCACTCGGTACGCAAAGAAGGTCCTTCCCCCCCCTGTGGACAAGCAAGTACCCCTCTTGGATTCGGT